ACCAGAGGATCTACTCCCCACTACTTCAGATCACTGTCTAAAACCAGAGGATCTACTCCTCACTACTTCAGATTACTGTCTAAAACCAGAGGATCTACTCCCCACTACTTCAGATCACTGTCTAAAACCAGAGGATCTACTCCCCACTACTTCAGATTACTGTCTAAAACCAGAGGATCTACTCCCCTCTATACAGTGTAAAACGGTCCACGCTGGAAGGACAGAACAGGACAGTACACCATGCATTACGTCATTGCACTGTAGGTCATATATACAGTACCTTCAGAAAGTATTCAGAACCTTTGACTTTTTCCACATTTTGTTACGTTACTGCTTTATTCTAAAATGGATTAAAGAAAAAAAATACTCAGCAATCTACACACAATACCCCATACTGACAAAGCGAAAACAGGTTTTTAGACATTTTTATTTACATAAGTACTCAGACCCTTTGCTATGAGACACGAAATTGAGCTCAGGTGCACCCTGTTTCCATTGATCATCCTTGATATGTTTCTACAACTTGATTGGAGTCCATCTGTGGTAAATTCAATTGATTGGACATGAGTTGGAAAGGTACACACCTGTCTATAAAAGGTCCTACAGCTGACAGTGCATGTCAGAGCAAAAACCAAGCCATGAGGTCGAAGGAATTGTCCATAGAGCTCTGAGACAGGATTATGTCGAGGCTCAGATCTGGGGAAGGGTACCAAAACATTTCTGCAGCATTGAAGGTCGCCAAGGACACAGTGGCCTCCATCATTCTATAATGGAAGAAGTTTGGAACCACGAAGACTCGAAGGCAGGGAGACTAGTCAGGATCAAGGCAAAGATGAACGGAGCAAAGTACAGAGAGATCCTTGATGAAAACCTGCTCCAGAGCGCTCAGGACCTCAGACTGGGGAGAAGGTTCACTTTCCAACAGGACAACGACCCTAAGCACAGAGCCAAGACAACGCAGGAGTGGTTTCGGGACAAGTCTCTGAATGTCCTTTAGTGGCCCAGCCAGAGCCTGAACTTGAACCCGATCGAACATCTCTGGAGAGACCTGAAAATAGCTTCAGAGGATCTGCAGAGAAGAATGGGAGAAACTCCCCAAATACAGGTGTGCCAAGCTTGTAACGCCAGGGTTGTGGGTTCGATTCCCGGGGGGGGGCCAGTATGAAAAAAAAAGAATAATGTATGCACTAACTGTAAGTCGCTCTGGATGAGAGCGTCTGCTAAATGACGTAAATGTAAAAATGTAAAAAATGTCATACCCAAGGAGACTCGAGGCTGTAATCGCTGCCAAAGGTGCTTCAACAAAGTACTGAGTAAAGGGCCTGAATACTTATGTAAATGTGATATTTCTGTATTTTTTAAATTATATATTTACTAACATTTCTAAAAACCTGTTTTTGCTTTGTCATTATGGGGTATTTATTGTGTCTAGATTGAGGGGGAAAAAACAATTGAATCCATTTTAGAATAACGGCTGTAACGTAACAAAATGTGGAAAAAGTCAAGGGGTCTGAATACTTTCCGAAGGCACAGTACATTCTCAGAGCTTGTGAGTGTTATGGGGGTCAGTGTGCTAATGACACCTTAGCTTCCTCCACTGTAATGGGGGTCACTGTGCTAACGACACCTTAGCTTCCTCCACTGTAATGGGGGTCACTGTGCTAATGACACCTTAGCTTCCTCCTCTGTAATGGGGGTCACTGTGCTAATGACACCTTAGCTTCCTCCTCTGTAATGGGGGTCACTGTGCTAACGACACCTTAGCTTCCTCCTCTGTAATGGGGTCACTGTGCTAACGACACCTTAGCTTCCTCCTCTGTAATGGGGGTCACTGTGCTAATGACACCTTAGCTTCCTCCTCTGTAATGGGGGTCACTGTGCTAACGACACCTTAGCTTCCTCCACTGTAATGGGGGTCACTGTGCTAACGACACCTTAGCTTCCTCCACTGTAATGGGGGTCACTGTGCTAACGACACCTTAGCTTCCTCCTCTGTAATGGGGGTCACTGTGCTAACGACACCTTAGCTTCCTCCTCTGTAATGGGGGTGTGGGGGAAATTAATATTAATTACATACTATACTGTTTAATTAGACATACTATTCTGTTTTTTACTTAAATATTGTCCATTGTTATATGCTGTTATTTTTTACTGATACAAACTTGTCTTGTGTGACTTAGTCATTAATCTGAGCGTACAAATGAATGAGCCTTTTGGGTGCGACCGCAGCATGTTACTTCCTGTGTTTACGATCGGCAGGAATGCAGGGAGGAACAGAGAATGGTACAACTCTGTTCCCAGGCCCCGTTTCTGCACGTCTGTCACATAGATAATACGATGTACATAGATTACATTTACAGTAGTGAGTCATTTAGCAGACGCTCTTATCCAGAGCCACTTACAGTTAGTGAGTCATTTAGCAGACGCTCTTATCCAGAGCCACTTACAGTTAGTGAGTGCATACATTTTCATACTGGCCTCCCGTGGGAAACGAACCCACAACCCTGGCGTTGCAAGCGCCATGCTCTACCAACTGAGCTACATTAGAGGATGTACTTTCTATAAAAGGAGAAGGCCAACTCTGTTCGTTGGATTGTTGAACTGCTCCATTTTTGCTAATCTTATAATAAAGTTGTTGTTGGAAAGAATCTGCAGTCTCTCTTCCTATAGAAATTCTACTACAGGGGTCAGTAAGCTGCCAACAGTTTAGCTTCCTCCACTGTAACGGGGGTCAGTGTGTTGCCAACAGCTTAGCTTCCTCCACTGTAACGGGGGTCAGTAAGCTGCCAACAGCTTAGCTTCCTCCACTGTAACGGGGGTCAGTAAGCTGCCAACAGCTTAGCTTCCTCCACTGTAACGGGGGTCAGTAAGTTGCCAACAGCTTAGCTTCCTCCACTGTAACGGGGGTCAGTAAGCTGCCAACAGCTTAGCTTCCTCCACTGTAACGGGGGTCAGTAAGCTGCCAACAGCTTAGCTTCCTCCACTGTAACGGGGGTCAGTGTGTTGCCAACAGCGTAGTTTCCTCCACCGGCTGACTGCCCCATACTGGGCTCCAACCAATGATCCTCTGAACTCAACACACCTGACCGCCCTCCTTGACAACCTACCAACGGGTTGAGCCACCCATTAGGTACTGATTGGATGGCCCCATCCACCCATTAGGTACTGATTGGATGGCCCCATCCACCCATTAGGTACTGATTGGATGGCCCCATCCACCCATTAGGTACTGATTGGATGGCCCCATCCCCCCATTAGTATGTGATAGCCCCATCCACCCATTGGTACTGATTGGATGGCCCCATCCACCCATTAGGTACTGATTGGATGGCCCCATCCCCCCATTAGGTACTGATTGGATGGCCCCATCCACCCATTAGGTACTGATTGGATGGCCCCATCTTCCCATTAGGTACTGATTGGATGGCCCCATCCACCCATTAGGTACTGATTGGATGGCCCCATCTGCAACATTTCAAGCTAGCTGGGGTGTGAGTTCTTAACTCCATTACATGAGCGTGAACAGGATTGGATTGCCCCACCGGTAATATGACTACAATCTCTAACCTAAGGATGGAATTCAATACGATCATCAGTAGATCCACGTAAAACATTGACTTTAAAAGGAGCGTTGTCCACAAAGACTGATCAGATTGAATCTTGGGTTTATTATTGGAGGAATAAACACATGTACACAGAACAGAAATATGATTGGAAGAATTTGTCAATATAAAGCATACTTCATATAGACTGTGGCACATGGAGGCAATAGTTTGAGGATATAATGCAGTATGGACAGTGTGACTGGATTTGAGAATGGATTGCAGACTGCTCAAAACTACAATGTAGCATTATGTAGTAAACAGTATGTAGCATTATAATACACTGTAGTATAATCAGATATGTGAACAATAACAACCAATTTGACAATATACATTGATGACCTTATGGATTTGATTTCACTAAAACATTTCTTCAAGAAATCCCTGGAAATAAAACAAGGACACACATACAGCCATCAGTCTCATACAGCCATCAGTCACATACAGCCATCAGTCTCATATAGCCATCAGTCTCATACAGCCATCAGTCACATACAGCCATCAGTCACATACAGCCATCAGTCACATACAGCCATCAGTCACATACAGCCATCAGTCTCATACAGCCATCAGTCTCATACAGCCATCAGTCACATACAGCCATCAGTCACATACAGCCATCAGTCACATACAGCCATCAGTCTCATACAGCCATCATCACATACACCATCACATACAGCCATCAGTCACATATAGCCATCATCACATACAGCCATCAGTCACATACAGCCATCAGTCACATACAGCCATCAGTCATCATACAGCCATCAGTCTCATACAGCCATCAGTCTCATACAGCCATCAGTCACATACAGCCATCAGTCACATACAGCCATCAGTCTCATACAGCCATCAGTCTCATACAGCCATCAGTCTCATACAGCCATCAGTCTCATACAGCCATCAGTCTCATACAGCCATCAGTCACATACAGCCATCAGTCTCATACAGCCATCAGTCACATACAGCCATCAGTCACATACAGCCATCAGTCACATACAGCCATCAGTCACTCACGCACACACAGATGCACAAACCATTCGCTGTCACCACTATCCCTGTAAATTAATATGATCTCTCACCACTATACAAAGTTAGAAACATTGTCTGGCAAAGCATCAAAAAGCAAAAGTCATAATTACCAGAGAACATCATTGAAGAAAAAAAGGTAAACCTACACATTCACTAACAATAAAATATATATATATTTAAAAAAATGTATTTAACATTTATAGTAAATACCAATATGAACTGTTGATTGTCTGATAAAAATCAGTTGGTTGGTGAAAGGGTGGGCACTGTAGGAGGGGAAGGCTTCTGGTTGGTTGGTCCTAGAGAGGGTTGTTATGGTGACCAGCCATGCTGAGCTGTGATTGGTTGACAGTAAGCATGCCCAGATCAGTCTTTCCCGGCATCGATCTTCTCTTGTCGTCGTCTCATGATCTCCTGGAGCTCTGAATCCCCACTGCTCTTCTAGAAATAGATGTACAGGGTTTAGTTTAGTTGTTCATCTGTAAACATCTAAAGGCACTAAACATGTTAGCCTGTTGGACGACTATTTCAGTCTTAACAACATCAGATTCAGTTATTTCCTTGGGTGAATAAAGTGAATTGCCTTAGAACGCTGTTTAACGTGTCTGTGCCTGTGTCTGTGCCTGCGTGTCTGTGATACAGACCTCCAGCTGGGATTTCTGCACGGTGGTCTGGCTGTAGACCCTGGAGCCCTCGTCTCCACACACTGCCTTCAGTTCCTCCTTGTTCAGAGAGAAGAGCTGAGCACCGGTCAGGTTGCCCAGGCACTCCACTGTCCTGTAGGGAACAGAGACTACATTACCCATAATGCTCTACACCCAGGCACTCCACTGTCCTGTAGGGAACAGAGACTACATTACCCATAATGCTCTATGCCCAGGCACTCCACCGTGCTGTAGGGAACAGAGACTACATTACCCATAATGCTCTATACCCAGACACTCCACCGTCCTGTAGGGAACAGAGACTACATTACCCATTATGCTCTATACCCAGACACTCCACCGTCCTGTAGGGAACAGAGACTACATTACCCATAATGCTCTATACCCAGACATTCCACCATCCTGTAGGGAACAGAGACTACATTACCCATAATGCTCTATACCCAGACACTCCACCATCCTGTAGGGAACAGAGACTACATTACCCAATATGCTCTATACCCAGACACTCCAACGTCCTGTAGGGAACAGAGACTACATTACCCATAATGCTCTACACCCAGACACTCCACCATCCTGTAGGGAACAGAGACTACATTACCCATAATGCTCTATACCCAGACACTCCACCGTCCTGTAGGGAATAGAGACTACATTACCCATAATGCTCTACACCCAGACACTCCACCATCCTGTAGGGAACAGAGACTACATTACCCATAATGCTCTATACCCAGACACTCCACCTGTAGGGTACAGAGACTACATTAACCATCAGACCTGGGCAATAGTTGTATTTTGTAGTTTATTATATCAAATCGTTTTAAAAAGTAGTTACTTTCTGAGCTCTGTATTCAAATAGTTAAAAAAGTTGTACTTTTTTGGGGGATCTGTATTCAAATAGTCACCTCCAAAGTTACTATTTGTTCCTCCCCCAAAATGTGTATATCGTGTCTTTTTCACACACAGCCAAGCACGGTGACTCACGGTTTAGAGAATCCCCTGGCATTGAGCCAGGCGGTGACCTGCAGTGGGCTGGAGTCTAAGGTGAGAGGAGCAGTGCTGCTGCTGCCCGAGGGGCGCTCCACCCTGAAGTTACGGGCTGGAGTCTGAGACTTATTACTAGTGATCCTCTTCAACAACTCATCATTCACCTCATCCATCTGGTGTGTCCGAGCTGGGGGTGGGAGGGAGAGACAGAAAGACAAACAGGGAGAGACAGAGGGTCAATGACGAGAGAGAGAGAGAGAGAGGAGAGAGAGAGAGAGAGTAGAGGATAAGATGAGAGGAGAGAGAGAGTAGCGAGAGCAGATAGCGCAGCGAGCATCGAGAGAGATCGGCGTATAGCGCTATCTCCAGCTCTCGCTATCTAGAGCATCTGAGAGACTCCTCTAGAGATCTCTCTCTCTCGCTTCAGAAGACAAGAACCTGTTTAGGAGGTATTCCTGTTTAGGAGGTATTCCTGTTTAGGAGGTATTCCTGTTTAGGAGGTATTCCTGCTCATCTATAAGTGCTGAGGTCCTCTTAGCTAAGATGATGAAACTCATAAAAGCCTTGAGCTAAGATAGCTCTGATAGCTCAGATAAGATAAGCAGTTATCTAGATTGTTTAGTAGTAAATAAAAGCTATGGAGACTCACATTCTTTGAAGCGGCCCATGTCAAAGCTCTCCCCTCTACCTAGAGGGCTGGAGGGAGAGGTAGGGCTGTAGAGCTGGTGACACACAGAGACAAAAGAAAGACATGTGAAAGTTAATAATTAATGAATTTATATATATATTTTTTCATTTAACTAGGCAAGTCAGTTAAGAACAAATTCTTATTTACAATGACGGCCTACACCGGCCAAACCCGGACGACGCTGGGCCAATTGTGCGCCGCCCTATGGGACTCCCAACCACGGCCCGGTTGTGATACAGCCTGGAATCGAACCAGGGGGTCTGTAGTGACGCCTCAAGCACTGAGATGCAGTGCCTTAGACCGCTGCGCCACTCGGGAGCCCAAATATATAATGCTTTTCCAGATGCTAAAAGCACTTACATAATGTCAAACATGGAAGGATATTGTCACGAAGAACAGGTTCATCATTCCAATATGTTTGATAATGTTCCATAATGTATTCAAATGGTTTACAGGATGTATTGGTAGGTGGTACAGTCAAATAAAATAAAATATTATTTGTCACATTATCCGAATACAACAGGTACCTTACAGTGAAATGCTTACTTACAAGCCCTTAACCAACAATGCAGTTCTAAGAAAAATAAGTGTTAAGTAAAAATTGATAAGTAAAAAATAAATAATAAAAATAATAAAAGAGCAGCAGTAAAATAACAGTAGCGAGGCTATATACAGGGGGTACCGGTACAGAGTCAATGTGCGGGGGGCACCGGTTAGTCGAGGTAATTGGGGTAATATGTACATGTGGGTAGAGTTAAAGTGACTATGCATAAATAATAAACAGAGTAGCAGCAGCGTAAAAGAGGGGGGGGGGGGGGGACAATGCAAATAGTCTGGGTAGCCATTTGATTATATGTTCAGGAGTCTTATGGCTTGAGGGTAGAAGCTGTTAAGGAGCCTTTTGGACCTAGACGCAGTAGCAGAGAGAACAGTCTATGATTAGGGTGGCTGGAGTCTTTGACAATTTTTAGGGCCTTCCTCTGACACTGCCTGGTATAGAGGTCCTGGATGGCAGGAAGTTTGGCCCCAGTGATGTACTGGGCCGTAAGCACTACCCTCTGTAGAGCCTTGCGGTCGGAAGCCGAGCAGTTGCCACCAGTCAGGATGCTCTCGATGGTGCAGCTGTATAACTTTTTGAGGATCTGATGACCCACACCAAGGAACTTGAAGCTCTCAACCTGCTCCACTACAGCCCCGTCGATGAGAATGGTGGCGTGCTCGGTCCTCTTTTTTTTCCTGTAGTCCACAATCATCTCCTTTGTCTTGATCACGTTGAGGGAGAGGTTGTTGTCCTGGCACCACACGGCCAGGTCTCTGACCTCCTCCCTATAGGCTGTCTCATCGTTGTCGATGATCAGGCCTACCACTGTTGTGTCATCGACAAACGTAATGATGGTGTTGGAGTCGTGCCTGGCCATGCAGTCATGGGTGAACAGGGAGTACAGGAGGGGACTGAGCACGCACCCCTGAGGGGCCCCCATGTTGAGGATCAGCGTGGCAGATGTGTTGTTGCCTACCCTTACCACCTGGGGCGGCCCGTCAGGAAGTCCAGGATCCAGTTGCAGAGGGAGGTGTTTAGTCCCAGGGTCCTTAGCTTAGTGATGAGCTTTGAGGGCACTATGGTGTTGAACGATGAGCTGTAGTCAATGAATAGCATTCTCATGTAGGTGTTCCTTTTGTCTAGGTGGGAAAGGGCAGTGTGGAGTGCAATAGAGATTGCATCATCTGTGGATCTGTTGGGGCGGTATGCAAATTGGAGTGGGTCTAGGGTTTCTGGGATAATGGTGTTGATGTGAGCCATGACCAGCCTTTCAAAGCACTTCATGGCTACAGACATGAGTGCTACGGGTCTGTAGTCATTTAGGAAGGTTATCTTAGTGTTCTTGGGCACAGGGACTATGGTGGTCTGCTTGAAACATGTTGGTATTACAGACTCAGTCAGGGACATGTTGAAAATGTCAGTGAAGACACTTGCCAGTTGGTCAGCGCATGCTCAGAGTACACGTCCTGGTAATCCATCTGGCCCTGCGGCCTTGTGAATGTTGGCCTGTTTAAAGGTCTTACTCACATCGGCTACGGAGAGCGTGATCACATAGTCATCCGGAACAGCTGGTGCTCTCATGCATGCGTCAGTGTTGCTTGCCTCGAAGCGAGCATAGAAGTGGTTTAGCTCGTCTGGTAGGCTTGTGTCACTGGGAAGCTCGCGGCTATGCTTCCCTTTGTAGTCTGTAATAGTTTTCAAGCCCTGACACATCCGACGAGCGTCGGAGCCGGTGTAGTACGATTCAATCTTAGTCCTGTATTGACTCTTTGCCTGTTTGATGGTTCGTCGGAGGGCATAGCGGGATTTCTTATAAGTGACCGGGTTAGAGTCCTGCTCCTTGAAAGCGGCAGTTCTACAATTTCGCTCAGTGCGGATGTTGTGTGTATAATGTGTGTGTGTGTGTGTTTGTGTGTGTGTGTGTATAATGTTACCTGGCTATAGAGTGGTTCAGCCATGCCGTGTGGTTCTTCCAGTTTGACCACGTCCAGTATGTTGTAGGGGACGTATCCTGACTGGCCACTCCTGTTCCTCAGCTTCCACCACTGTTTATTGTCCTCTAACACCTGCAGGGCCACAATGACATGTCACAACCATGACCTTTGACCCTTGTTGACCTTTATTGACTCCAGTTGATCATCCTCTAACACCTGCAGGGCCACAATGACCTAAATGATCATAACAATAATAATATACCATTTAGCATGTTTTTTTTGTTTTCTTTATCTGAAACTAACATACTGTAATATCCAAGCTCTGCATCACAATTCAATGGATGCCATAATAACTCCCTCTAGCCATATGACAAATACTGTTAACCCCATGCTAGACATGTCATTGTGTGACATCTCAGGCCATGGCATGACTCACAGACAAATCCATCGTAACAATGTCAGTTGGGATGCAAGTGCACATCGTCTCAATTCTCACTTTGCCCAAAATAGTGGCAGAAAGTGATCACTATCAAACACATCAGCTAGCAGCCACTCCATAAAGGGCCTAGGGGTCAATGACTATCAAATAAAACATTAACATACTGAGCTATATTGTTTACAAAAAAAAAAGGGCAAATTATATTATTTTATAATACAACAATTGCTCAGAGAAAGAAATTTTGTTTAACAAGTCATTTCTCAAAAAGGTAGGGGTCAAAATTATTGACACCCCTATTTTCAAGAAGTTCCACAAACAAATCGGTTGCACTGCAAACAGTTTTCATGGTCCTTGTTTCGTGTGCACCTGTCTTCTTTTTCGCCCGAGTTGGAGCTGCGGTGCCTGGGGGGAGGGGGATCAGGACGTGCTGCTGGACGTGCTGCTGGCCAGGCTACCATAACGACTCCAGATCCATGCTCTTTCCGCCGTTTGCCCCGCAGACATACAAGTGTGCAATAAATGCTTTGAGTTCATCCATAGACATGTCTCACAGACTGGTTCCTTTTCCGTGCGCATGAGCAACAGATTTGTCTCTTTGACTGATGTCCTGCTCTCTCACTACAGTTCTACTACTGTTCTAAATTGAATCATCCTCTTCACCCTCTTCCTCATCATTCAGATAACTCAACGTCAGTGACCTAGAGCGGTTCTAGTGTCAACAAGGGACACAGGAAGCAAAATAGCACTATAACATCAAAGATCCAGCACCAGAATTTACAGTAGGTATTGGGAAAACATGTTTTTGCCCGTGCTACAGATGGCTGACAGTATTATAATATAGATGGCGTACCTCTAGCACCTCCTCCTGCAGTACTGACAGTATTATGGCGTACCTCTAGCACCTCCTCCTGCAGTACTGACAGTATTATAATATAGATGGCGTACCTCTAGCACCTCCTCCTGCAGTACTGACAGTATTATAATATAGATGGCGTACCTCTAGCACCTCCTCCTGCAGTACTGACAGTATTATAATATAGATGGCGTACCTCTAGCACCTCCTCCTGCAGTACTGACAGTTCGTTGGCGTTGCGGGCCACAAAGTGGTAGCGGATCTTGGCATATTTACGGGACGAGGAGGTCAGCACATTGTAGGACCTTGGACAGGAGGTATGAGTTATTTCTAACGGGCCATGCACAACAAATATTGCCCCAGATTTAGCTACACGTCTGCTACATGGTCTGTATTAATACTACAACAGCGTACGAGTTTTATAGCAGCTCAAGAAATAACAACAATTTGAGAAACGTTTTGTTTAGTAATGATAACAGTAGTAGTACTATCCACTTACCCATTTGATGAGCTTAAAGACTGGGTTCCAGACATCTGAAAGGGAGAGATGTTATTATCATTGTAAAGTGATGTTATGGACTAGTATGTGTCTGACTAGTGTAACACACTGAACTCTATTAAATAACTCAGAAAGTATTTGAAATCTGCGTCACTGAAGAAATGTAAACAAACAAATGACGAACTAACAATGGATGGCTGGGAGAAGTCTACTATAATTAATCAAATGGACAGCAGTCTAGAAATGTATGAGTATAAAACGTGTGTGTGTGTGTGTGTGTGTGTGTGTGTGTGTGTGTGTGTGTACACACCTCGTCTGAGTTGTAGGGGGACATGAGGTTGGATGTGGGGGACAGGAGAGGTTCCCCTGATCCCTCTGCCTCCCACGGGGAGGTCCTGAACAGCTCAGCTGGGGGCTCCCACCCGTTCCTGAATGTAGGGAAGTAAGGTGGAGCACACTGGTCCTGCGGCCAGTCCGCTCTGCAGGGGGCAGGGGGGCAGGGGCAGGGGGCAGGGGCAGGGGGCAGGGGGCAGGGGGCAGGGGCAGGGGCAGGGGCAGGGGGCAGGGGGCAGGGGCAGGGGGCAGGGGGCAGGGGCAGGGGGCAGGGGGCAGGGGCAGGGGGCAGGGGGCAGGGGGGCAGGGGGCAGGGGGCAGGGGGCAGGGGGCAGGGGGGCAGGGGGCAGGGGGCAGGGGCAGGGGCAGGGGGCAGGGGGCAGGGGGGCAGGGGGCAGGGGGCAGGGGGCAGGGGCAGGGGGCAGGGGGCAGGGGGCAGGGGGCAGGGGGCAGGGGGTTAATGCTGATACAGAGAGAACAAGTCAATAATCACTTATAAAGTATTAGAACAGCAGGCTGAACAGTTTATCAGCAGGCTGAACAGTTTACCAGCAGGCTGAACAGCTTAAAAGCAGGCTGAACAGCTTAACAGCAGGCTGAACAGTTTACCAGCAGGCTGAACAGCTTAAAAGCAGGCTGAACATCTTAACAGCAGGCTGAACAGTTTATCAGCAGGCTGAACATCTTAACAGCAGGCTGAACAGTTTACCAGCACGCTGAACAGCTTAAAAGCAGGCTGAACAGCTTAACAGCAGGCTGAACAGTTTACCAGCAGGCTGAACAGCTTAAAAGCAGGCTGAACATCTTAACAGCAGGCTGAACAGTTTATCAGCAGGCTGAACATCTTAACAGCAGGCTGAACAGTTTACCAGCAGGCTGAACAGCTTAAAAGCAGGCTGAACAGTTTATCAGCAGGCTGAACATCTTAACAGCAGGCTGAACAGTTTATCAGCAGGCTGAACATCTTAACAGCAGGCTGAACAGTTTATCAGCAGGCTGAACAGCTTAACAGCAGGCTGAACAGTTTAACAGCAGGCTGAACAGCTTAACAGCAGGCTGAACAGTTTAACAGCAGGCTGAAACGTTTTACAGCAGGCTGAACAGCTTAACAGCAGGCTGAACAGTTTAACAGCAGGCTGAACAGCTTAACAGCAGGCTGAACAGTTTAACAGCAGGCTGAAACGTTTAACAGCAGGCTGAACAGTTTGACAGCAGGCTGAAACGTTTAACAGCAGGCTGAACAGCTTAACAGCAGGCTGAACAGCTTAACAGCAGGCTTAATTTTAAGAAGTTATTTGGACACTTTAGTTGTGATACAAACCTTATCAAAACATACAGGCCTATGGACAAGGCTACATGAGGTGTGCGACTATGATTAGAAAAAGTCGCAAAAGTGATAATATATCATTCATAAGTGACAGGCTAATATTGTCACCCATCAGACTATTCTTGATTTAATCTTGCCTTTACTAAATAATATGTGTGGAATGTGTTTTTATTTAGAATGGACCATTATCATGCACCTGTTTCGGAACAGGGGCAGTGGGGAAAAATATATTTAATCTATGCACTTAAATAGAGAATGGAGGATGCTTTTCCTGTGGTTTATTTTCATGCCAGCCAGGTAGGCTATACTCCTGTTGTAAAGAGAAGCAATGTGCTTAATATTAGGAAAGTTGAGAAATAAATATAGTAGGCCTAGCCTATAGAAAGCTGATGGGATCCTCCTCTTTTTAATAGAGGCCATCACTCTGTTTTCTCACGCAATTGCGCAGCCTATAGAAATGCTGGGCAACATGAGCTCATGGGCTCTCATGAAGTGTTTGATTAGATTTTCGATTACATTTGCATTGATGTCAGAGTGATTAGAGGGACAATAGAGTGCTGAGTACCAGGCAGTTAGCAAGTTTGGTAGGCTACTAATGACCATCAGCAGCATCAGAGCTTGGAGAAGCCTAATTACCGTGACTAAACGGTCACGTGGAATTTGACTGCCATCACGACTCGTGACCGACGGTGTGGCGGGAGGAGGTCTGTACGCAGCATAGTACCTTCCATAAAATGTTTTGCTCGACAAAAAGAAACGCAAGCATCATACATCTAATATTTAAAACAACAAAAACACATGGGTACAGAACACTTGCAACCACACACACACACACACACACACACACCTGGGTCGTGTCCACCCGTCTCCCAGAAGGTCAAAGATGGTCATCTCTTTAGGCGACAGGTGACCTCTCAGGAAGTCTACTGCATCTCTGGACAGGTGAGGGGAGACCACGGAGCGGGGCAGCTCTGGACTGCCACAGGACTGGAGCACCTAGAGGTCGGAGGTTAGAGGTCACAGGTCATACACTGGAGAACCTGGAAGATCAGAGGGTAGAGGGTAGAGGTCACAGGTCATACACTGGAGCACCTGGAAGGTCAGAGGGTAGAGGGTAGAGGTCACAGGACATACACTGGAAGTTCAGAGGGTAGAGGTCACAGGACATACAAGTCATTATCAAAACACAGTCTATAGCTTCCACAGTCGTACACAGTCAATATCTCAGCAGGTTAATCTCTTCTAAAAGCACCCAGCCACTTGTGTTATGTGTGCTGCTGTAAGACAGTAACCAGGTGTACTATAAGACTATGTTACCATGAGACAGTAACCAGGTGTACTATCAGGATATGTTGCTATGAGACAGTAACCAGGTGTACTAAAAGGATATGTTGCTATGAGACAGTAACCAGGTGTACTATAAGGATATGTTGCTATGAGACAGTAACCAGGTGTACTATAAGGATATGTTGCTATGAGACAGTAACCAGGTGTACTATAAGGATATGTTGCTATGAGACAGTAACCAGGTGTACTATAAGGATATGTTGCTATGAGACAGTAACCAGGTGTACTATAAGGCTATGTTGCCATGAGACAGTAACCAGGTGTACTATAAGGCTATGTTGCTATGAGACAGTAACCAAGTGTACTATAAGGCTATGTTGCTATGAGACAGTAACCAAGTGTACTATAAGGCTATGTTGCTATGAGACAGTAACCAAGTGTACTATCAGGATATGTTACCATGAGACAGTAACCAGGTGTACTACAGTGAGGGAAAAAAGTATTTGATCCCCTGCTGATTTTGTACGTTTGCCCACTAACAAATAAATGATCAATCTATAATTTTAATGGTAGGTTTATTTGAACAGTGAGAGACAGAATAACAACAAAAAAATCCAGAAAAACGCATGTCAAAAATGTTATAAATTGATTTGCATTTTAATGAGGGAAATAAGTATTTGACCCCCTCTCAATCAGAAAGATGTCTGGCTCCCAGGTGTTTTTTATACAGGTAACGAGCTGAGATTAGGAGCCCACTCTTAAAGGGAGTGCTCCTAATCTCAGTTTGTTACCTGTATAAAAGACATCTGTCCACAGAAGCAATCAATCAATCAGATTCCAAACTCTCCACCATGGCCAAGACCAAAGAGCTCTCCCAGGATGTCAGGGACAAGATTGTAGACCTACACAAGGCTGGAATGGGCTACAAGACCATCGCCAAGCAGCTTGGTGAGAAGGTGACAACAGTTGGTGCGATTATTCGCAAATGGAAGAAACACAAAAGACTATCAATCTCCCTCGGCCTGGGCCTCCATGCAAGATCTCACCTCGTGGAGTTGCAATGATCATGAGAACGGTGAGGAATCAGCCCAGAACTACACGGGAGGATCTTGTCAATGATCTCAAGGCAGCTGGGACCATAGTCACCAAGAAAACAATTGGTAACACACTACGCCGTGAAGGACTGAAATCCTGCAGCGCCCGCAAGGTCCCCCTGCTCAAGAAAGCACATATACAGGCCCGTCTGAAGTTTGCCAATGTACATCTGAATGATTCAGAGGAGAACTGGGTGAAAGTGTTGTGGTCAGATGAGACCAAAATCGAGCTCTTTGGCATCAACTCAACTCGCCGTGTTTGGAGGAGGAGGAATGCTGCCTATGACCCCAAGAACACCATCCCCACCGTCAAACATGGAGGTGGAAACATTATGCTTTGGGGTTGTTTTTCTGCTAAGGGGACAGGACAACTTCACCGCATCAAAGGGACGATGGACGGGGCCATGTACCGTCAAATCTTGGGTGAGAACATCCTTCCCTCAGCCAGGGCATTGAAAATGGGTTGTGGATGGGTATTCCAGCATGACAATGACCCAAAACACACGGCCAAGGCAACAAAGGAGTGGCTCAAGAAGAAGCACATTAAGGTCCTGGAGTGGCCTAGCCAGTCTCCAGACCTTAATCCCACAGAAAATCTGTGGAGGGAGCTGAAGGTTCGAGTTGCCAAATGTCAGCCTCGAAACCTTAATGACTTGGAGAAGATCTGCAAAGAGGAGTGGGACAAAATCCCTCCTGAGATGTGTGCAAACCTGGTGGCCAACTACAAGAAAAGTCTGACCTCTGTGATTGCCAACAAGGGTTTTGCCACCAAGTACTAAGTCATGTTTTGCAGAGGGGGTCAAATACTTATTTCCCTCATTAAAATGCAAATCAATTTATAACATTTTTGACATGCGTTTTTCTGGATTTTGTTGTTGTTATTCTGTCTCACACTGTTCAAATTAACCTACCATTAAAATTATAGACCGATCATTTCTTTGTCAGTGGGCAAACGTACAAAATCAGCAGGGGATCAAATACTTTTTTCCCTCACCGTACAAGGCTATGTTACCATGAGGCAGTATCATAGGGCAGTAACCAGGTGTGTCTGTCTGAATAATAGATGTTAGGGTTCAGTAAATCTAGCCTTCATCATTACGCAACTGTGGTGACTGCACCTGATGTGGGGCTGTAACCACACTGATCCGGTCTGCTTAGTTCCAAGGTGGAAGGGTGTGTGTGTGGTGTGGTTTTGTGT